AGAGACGTATGGATGGTGTGGCTTTGAGCTGTTCGGAACTTCGATGTAACTCGCTGTCAGAACTCAGTAATTATGCAGGCTGGCGACAGCTGGACTTGTGTGAGTGTGTGTGAGGTGGAGGGGCATTTTCGTCAGTTATAGATTACTTAATGGTTGAGGACTTCTAATGGTAAAACGGATTTTAGAGATGCACAATGTGACATATAATCGTATGAAACAAGTCTCACAAAAACACTAACATGTATCAGCTATTATCTGTGAGTAATTTCGACAAGTGTAATATTTCACTACGTGCCGTTGGATATATCCGGTTTACAGTGCTGGTGTAATCAACATGTACACAGTTGTACTGTTTCGAGCCTTGTTTTGTCACCCCACAGTCTCCTACAATCGGACGCCAAGCTTGACATTACTTTGATGCAAATGGTAGAGCTCACTAAACCAAAATTGCGCACATGTACATGTATATTGTTTACTCCCCAGCTGCAGAGCTAATATATACAAACTATTTGCTTTTTAATTACAGAGAGTGTTAAGCAGTTAATAGCAGCTGGAGGTTATCTCCGGAAATTGGCAATATTAGTGAAGTACAAGATGGCGGCGTCCTAACGGATTAAATTTACTACAGAGACAGCTGTTACATGTATGGCGGGGCGTCAGATGTTCGTATAAAGGTATATATGCTTTCTTTAATTTTGCACGGTTTTTATTTGAACAAGGTTTGATTCCGTATGTTGTGTGACCTGGTAATGTATGTTTTGTTGAGCGTGAGTAGAATACATTTTTGGTCAGTATTGACTTGGTGTAAAGTTGTATGTGCTGGATTCTAGACTTGTAAAACTATGTATTTGTTCCTGGACCATTTGAGTTAAGCCTGTATGTGTATATTTTGGTGAGTTGAATTTTGTTTTAGAATTCCGTTTTTCCAGTCAGTACCAGGAAGGTTAAAATCACTGCCGATTATAAAGGAAGTATTTTTCTTTAGAGTTGCTCTTCTGATGGATACATCAAAGCCCATAGCACTTTTGAGTGTCAGATGTTTGTCAGGTTATAATAGGAACAAATGTACAGTGATTTGTTGCCCACAATATCGAGTTTGGCACACCTCCCCCTTCCTTGCCACCATTTGGGGTTTTCCTGTCTTTCCGATACATATTAAAATCGGATGGAAAATATTCAGAGTCTTGGAAACAGATGTCCTCCTTAAGCTCATTCTTAGTAGAAGGTCAGACTGGTAAAATAGATGCCCTTCTTCAACTCATTCTTAGTAGAAGGTCAGACTGGTAAAACAGATGCCCTTCTTCAACTCATTCTTAGTAGAGGGTCAGACAAGTAAAACAGATCTCCTTCAGCTTATTCTTAGTAGTGGGTCAGATTGGTAAAACAGATGTCCTCCTTCAGCTTATTCTTAGTAGTGGGTCAGTCTGGTAAAACAGATGTCATCCTTCAGCTTATTCCTAGTAGAGGGTCAGACTGGTAAAACAGATCCCCCTTTTCAGCTCATTCTTTGTAGAGGGTCAGATTGATAAAATAGATGCCCTTCACCCCATTCTTTGTAGAGGGTCAGACTGGTAAAACAGATGTCCTCCTGCAGCTCATTCTTTGAAGAGGGCCAGACTGGTAAAACAGATGTCCTCCTG